GAATATACAACTCGAGTTCAATCAGTATAGCAACAATGTATTTTACCAGCTTCTCTGATGCTAAGACAGTAACTGAACGTTAGTGCAGAATCCTTGTGCACCTCCTATCAAATACCAAAAGGTGTTTGTTACTGATTTTTATTAGCATATTTTTCAACAATTTTAAAGTAAGTAAAAAAACTCAAAATGTAACACCACTATTTCTGAAACTGTTAAAATATGTACCATCTTTGGATATGTCCATATGCTGATCTCTGGCGACTGCATTTCTTTGTAATTACTTAGCTACAACATAAAAAAAGAACATTATTTATATGTATCTACACATTTCCTGTCCCCATGTCAATATCTGACCTTTACTGTGGATGATCTCACTCAACGATATTTGGCTTGAAAATATTCTGTGTAGATGCACTTTTGTCAGGTCTGATTTTGGGTAAACTGGATTATTTTTTCTGCATGCTGAAAGTAATTCATCTGCTTACCTACATTTATATATTACGTCTATTTAGGCCTTTTAAAATAAGATTTCTGCCTGCTTGTTTATAAATGGCGGGTTTGTGTCTTTTCCCACATTCGCTCGCTTGTTAAAAAAAAAGTTTTTAAAAATGCAGCACGAAGGACTTGAAACTGTCATTAGGGTCTGTCGACACGGAATTTATCTCAGCCCAGGCGCCTGAATGCACAACTAGTTCCTCCTCCTGCCTGGAGTGCGATTGGATACATTGCTTTTCATATTCCACCTTAGCCAGTAAGTCTATAGGGAACAAAGAACAAATATATTACCTATCACAGGTGACAGGGATGCTGAGCAGCCAGCCTCTGATTAGGTTATTGGCTCAAGGAACGGAATAAAAGAGCAGATGCAGCTATGCAGAGGCAGCCAGTATTTAGGGACCCTTCTTCTTTGCCTTGTTTGCTCAGATTGGATGTTTTACTAGGAATTATAGCGCCCGGTACATGCCGTACCTAGTTTTCTCAGCTGGAATCTCCAGCAGTTACAAAATAAAATCAGCAATCTACAAGAGGCCTGAGGTTTCTGCATATTTAACTCGTCCACCCTTTCGCAGCCACGGCTTGCGTACGCTGGATCCTTCTGTAATCCTGCACACAGGAACCACAAAAAGGCTTCAAAGTCTATACCAGCAGTAAAACAGACAAACGCCAACTCCTTGTTTTTAACAGAGTTAGTCAGTTTGTTAATTTTTTTTTTCCTGTATCACTGTCTAGAACAACAAAAAGCATGAAGCATACAATTATGATAAGAATTTAAATCCAAAAAGTTTTTTCACAAATTACTTAGTCTCCTCCAGGATAAGAAGATAAACGTGCGTTCCATGAAACGTTTGAATATTCCCTCCTCTGAAAAGGGCTGGCCTTTGTTTCCGTCAAATAACATACCTAAAACTTGCAAAAATGAAAGTAGTAGGAACATTCATTTCTAAATGAGAACAAGTTCGTAAGGACAGAAAACAAATTATGATGAACACGGCAATGCCTTGTAATAAATTAGCATGTAGCCCCTCAAATCAGAAGTTAAAAATTCTCTCACTCCGCTTATGAATAGTCTCCACAAATTATCTTAGCAGAAATAAAGAGCAAGTACTCGGACAGAAAACCCCTTTTAGTCTTGTAAGTATTAGTAGTTCCATTTGTTAAAATTGTCCTTATTTAACCACAGAATACATAATTTAGAGTCTCCAACCTGGCATAAACCCTACGAATTTCCACTTTAAAATGCGGATTATGGAAAAAAAAAGTAGCTATGATATTTCCCAGAACAGTGTCTGCCTAGAATTAATTTAATACTGCAGTTTTACAAGAATAAACAGAAGTCAGGAACCCGTGACACAGATTAATTTGCAATTTAGACTAACATGTTATCATTAACTTCCCAAGTTAACAACTCCCCTGCCCAGCTCACAAAAAAATAGTAATAAAATCCAATACCCAGAATTTCAGACAAGTTCAGTTTAATGTTTTATTTCCTTTCGGAAGATTCCCTATAGGCTCATAATCCAACATCAATATAATTGAATGTAACTTCTATTTTTTAAACTGAGACATTAAATCTTAATACAGAAACAGCTGAAGACATAGATAAAGCATGTTAAAAAAATTTAAAAAGAGCATTTTCAAGTACCATCCAAAATCCAACTACTGAATTAATACACAAGAAACTGTGGAAGCAGACATAAGCACTACAGTTTCACGCTTTCTCAGAGAATTTTCTGTCAGATTGTTTCCCCATTAAATACCAAGATTTTTTGAAATAGCAAAGTATTTCCTACTATTAAACATGCTTTTTAAACAATAAAAAAGTACAATGGAGAACTGAAGCAACAGTAGTTTAGGAAAGCACAGCTGAGAGCTCACTGAATTTTGAATTTAACCCATTATAAAATATTTATGACAGTTTTGAAAGGGTGGTGGGGGTTTCGTGT